TGGTGGCCCCTGTATCTGGGGCGCAGCATGAGCGAGGCTTCTGGGGGCTGGCAGTGTTCTCTGTCTCCATCTCAGAAGTGGTTCCACAAACGTGCACTTTGTAAAAATCCACCATGTGTGTACTTAGTATTTGTGTACTTTGTTGTATGTATGGTGCACTAATACTGCAAGAAAAAAGTTCATGCAAAAATAAAAAGGAGATGTTCTCAGGGTACCTTCTTTAATTATACATAAGAATAATAATTAGCATTAAAATTGTATAAAATAGACACTGGTAAGTATTTGAAATAGGTATATATTCCTAGGTAATTTAAACACCTTGAGTTTATGTATATTATAGAAAGTTGTGTTGCAAAAACATAAGAAAAATTAAACTTCCAGCTGGCTCTTATTCAAGGGATCACAAATTCAAGGCACTTCAATTGGAACAATTTTTGAAAGTTTCTCACTTTCTATTTGAGTAGTTTTTTTCTGCTCCAGTGCATGGGTGTGCACAAGTTAACTGTGGAGAGAGCAGTGTCTGTGTGTGGTGTGTTTGGTGGGTTGGTCAGCAGTAGGGAAATAAAAAGAAACTAATGAGTTTAATCTGATAGGGTAGGTAACACCATAACATTGTTACGATATTGACCTAAACTCATTGGAGAGAAACAAAGGTTTCCTACCAGATGGGCCCAGACGCTATTCCATCCCGGGTCAGCCTTACCCTAGCTCCATTCTCTACATTCCCATTCTGTCCCAGCCAAGGAAGTCACAGGGTTTCCTAGTGAATATAAACAAAGGCAACCAGCTGGCCAGAACCAGATCAGGAAAACACATGCACCCCAACTTGCTGTGATGAGCACAAACAGAAGTCATATGTGGGAGGTAAATGAACTGAAGGCTAATCTTACTAGGAATTTGATACAACAATCTTAAAATATTAGAAAATAGAGAAGTATATTGAAACAATAAAACATCATAATCAAGTGGTATTTATTTCAGCAATGCAAGGATATTTCAATATCAGTAAATCTATTATATAATTCATATTAATCAAAATAAGAAAAAAATTACATAGTCATCTCAAAATGTGCTACAATGACATTTAATTAAATTCAACATCCATTGGTGATGAACAACATAGTTGACCTTGATAGGGGCACCCAGCACCTTCCTACACAGTGGAAATTTGGCGTCTTACTTAAGTTGACCCTCTGACACTTGGATTCCCATTTACCAGCTGACCCTGGAACAACATGGGTGTGAACTGCTTGGGTCAACTGAGAAAATCTGCATATTAGTGAATCTGCAGCGCTCCAACCCCTGTTGTTCCCGTGGTGTTCGAGGGTCAACTGTACTTTTAATAAGATATGACTAGATGGTTCCTTTCCTTAAAATGGTTAAGGATATATATCTGGGCCGACCCAGGGGCCAGCATCGTGAGTAAATGAGAAAATGTTATCGTCATTAATGAGATGCATTTCCATTAAAGTTCGAAATGTAATGATGAAATGATTATCACTTTTTTTGTTTAATATTGTTTCTGAAGACCCTGGAAACCAAAGAAACTAAGGAAACAGCACAAATAAGAGGTACAGGACTTCAAAACAAGAGGTGAAATTGTCACTGTGTGCAAATATTATGATTGTGTATTTTGGGGAGGACCCAGGGGAATTCACTGGAAAATTTTACAAGCAAAGAGAATTCAGTCAAATGGATTATGGTATAGAAATTAATAACTCTCATGTACACAACCAATAGTAGCAAGGTAAAACTGAAATATTTTATGTACAACAGCAACAAAAATTAAACAAATCTAATAATAAACTTAATGATAAATATGTAAAAGCTACTTCATTTACAGTTTAGGATATTCCTGAGGCTCACAAAAGTATAAATAAAAAGTAAATTTATATCATAAGGTTATAAATTCTTTCAAGTTAGTTTGTAAACTTAACTCAATCCTGTAACAGTCTTGGTAGGATTTTTCTTTGTGGAACATAGACAGGCCGAGCCTCAATTCATACAGAACATCAAACAACTAAGCAGAACCAGGACATTTTTCAAGGAGATCAATAATGGAATATTCTTTTTATCTGATAGTATGATATAAAAATTTCAAAATAGATATAAGTATAAAGTAAAATAATTAAAACAGTGTGGTACCAATACATAAAAGACAACTCAATAGAATACAATAAATGGTGTGGAAATCAATCCAGGTACTGAAATCTGATATACGATAAAGATGTCCTCTCGCGCAAGGGAGGAAAAAGATGAATTATTCACAAAATTATTTAAAGATAACTGGGGAAATACCTAAAAAAATAACGTTGGATCCATATCTCATATTTTACACTAGGAAAAAGGTAAATATTTAAGTGTAAAAAATTAAAAACAAACAAAAGACTAAAAGAAAATTCTTCTGTAAACTTGGATAACACTCCTTCTGAACTACTATGTAAAGCCCAGAAACCATAAAATGAGAAATTGCTTACAACTACTATATAAAAATAAAACTTTCACAAGACAAAAAACCACCATAAATGAAGTTAAACACTAACAAAACACTGGGAGAAGTATCTGTAATTCACATCACACAAAAAAGGGCTAAATTTCCCTTTGAAAATAGTCCCTACATATCCTTAAAAAAATACCAACAACCCAGCAGAAAACTAGATAAAGAACAGAAACAACAGTTCACAGAAAAGAAAATATAAATGACTATGAAAAACACTTGCCCTGGTCGGGTAACTCAGTTGGTTGGAGCATCGTCCCGGTAAATCCAAGGTTGGAGGGTGATCCCTGGTCAGGGCACGTAGGAGAATCAACCCAAGGATGCATAAATAAGTGGGACAACAAATCGATGTTTCCCTCTCTGTCTCCCCCCACCCGTCTCCCTTCCTCTCTCTCTCTAAAAATCAATAAACAAAATTAAAACTAAAGATGCTTAATCACCTATAAGATTGGTGAAGATTTTTTTAAAGGTTGGGTAACAAGCTTTATAGAAACAGCACTCTCATACTGCGCTGCTGGGAGTGCGAACCACACCCCTGTGATGGAGGGCAATTTGGTAGTTGCCATCCCCATTCTCAATCCACACATCCTTTGTCCCAGCATTTCCATTTCTGGGAATTTACCCTACAGATAAACCCTACAGATACATCAAATGGCCTAAATTCTCCATTATTGTGTGCAGTTTGCAATAGCAGAAATTTGAAATGACTTAAACTTTCCACCATAGGAGACTGACTACTTAAACTGTGGCACGCACACACACACACAACGGAATACCATGTCGCTATAAAACAAAGCAGAAGGCTCTCTAGGCACTAATATGGAATGACCTCCAAAACAAAATTAAAGTAGAAAAAAAGTGTGTACAACATGCTAGCATGCTAGTAGTTGTGGAAAAAGGAAAATATGTAAATTTGTGTATTCGTAAGTCCTGTCTGGAAGAAAGCCAAGGAACCTGGTGATAATACCCAGCATCAGGGATGGGACCTGGGCGGCTTGGGGACGAGGAAGGAAGATAGGACATTCTGTGCCTTTTGCACACTTTTATTTTGAACTATATGAATGGATTATCTACCAAAACATGTGCAAAACACATTCAAGTTCATGCTATGATATATTGGCTGTAGTTATATTTCAGCCTGTGCATGCTTATACTGAACTTGGCTGGAAATAAAATCTCTCATTAATCTATGTAGCTTTTGGGCTAAGTCACCAAAAGAGATAAATAATTTTTTGCTTGAAAACCTAAGTTCTAAAATAAACATTAAATAAGAAAAGGAAACATCAAAAAATAAAGAAAAACAAAGTTGCTCCACAATAGGAATAGTAGATTCACAGTTTGTTTAAAGCAATCAGACAAATATCAACAGCAGAAAAGAAGTCATGTGTTTAACTAAACTGTCTCTAAGGAGACACATGCACACAAACACACATCCCCAAAACTTTAGCCAGGGAGTGTGAGAGAATACAAGTTACTTTTTTGAGATAGTTACATATTGTTGAATTGCCTTGATTCCTTAACATATTAATTAATTTTATAATTACAAAATCATACAGCTTTTAAACACAAAAGCCTAAGGTTCAACTGGTAAACAAATATAAATAAACATGTTTTAGCTAATAATAAAAGAATACAAGTTTAAAAGTGGCACCATTAATAGAAAATTGGTTTTCGCTTACAGCTTACATGCAATGTTATTTTGAGGCACCATTTTCTGGCTGGTAAAGTAGGAATATTTGAAACCTATGATACCCAATGCAGAGTGTGCTGGAAAAGGTACTTCCCCACTTTAGTGGTGGAATACAAATTGGCACCTTTTCTAGGTTTTAATTGAAATTTATAACATGCGGTTGTAAGAAATAACACAGAGAGATCCCACGTATTCTTCACCCACAGGGTTCTCTTTTAAAGAGCAATTTGTCAGTGCAAATTGAGAATCTTAAAAATATTCACATTTTCATCCAGAAATCTCATTTCTTGGAACCTATCCTAAAAAAATAATTCAAAGGAAAGGAAAGGCTATATGCATAAAAATGTCCGCCCAAGACCATATATAAGTATATTTATATGTATAATTTATATATATATCTGCAAGTTTAACCATAAAAATCAGTCCATTAAATAACACAGCCCCTAGATAGACTGACTATTCTATATCCACTAAATCGTATTTATGTAAACTATGAGGTAATTGGCTTAATACCCATAATATAATGTTGATTTAAGAAGATGCAAAATGTAATGCATCTTTTATACCTATAAAATTTGTATGTGAACAGTGAGTGGGAATGTGCTGACACCATGGGTAATTATCTCTTCCAAAACCCTATAACCTAATTTCGAATTTTATTTTTTCATATTTTTCAAATCCAGGTTTTTCTACTTTTGTCAGAATTTAATTTGAGAAGCAAAACAAAGTGCGAGATGCCCGTTTGTGAACCCAGGAACGGACACTACCTGCCCGGCGCAGACGGTAGCCTTTGGTGAGGAAAGAGCCACTTACTTGCATTGAGCTCTGGAGAAGGAGGACCGGCCCGCTGCCCCAGGTGGCCGACAGGTGGCACCTGCTTCTCCAGGGCCGGGGCATGGTCCATAGGCAGCACCTTCCCCTTGGGGAGGCTAAAGAGGTCACGGAGGTCCTTTCTTTGTCTGGAGTCTTGGAGGGGGCTCTCAGAGGGTTTGTCTTTGAGTCCGAGAGCCGAGAAGAGTGAGATTTTTTTCTTCGGACTCCTGGAAGCATCTGGGAAGGTCTCCTGCAGACTTACTCTCTCAAGGAGCACGGGGACATCTTCCATCTTGTTGCAGGGCGGGGACGGGAACGCAGGGAACGTCCTGGAAGACCGGCTGGGCAAACTGCGGGAGCGGAGGGCAGGGTGAGGAAGGCCAGGGGCGGAGGTCTGGGCAGCTCTGGGGGGCAGGGTGCCGAGGGAGAAAAGCGCTGAGGCCCTGCTTGCCATGTCTCTCCTGGGGGCCTGCTGGTCCCCGTCTTTACTGGGGCTGGTTTTCCGAAGGCTGAATGAGCGAAGGCAAGCTTGTGGCTGGCCGGTGGGCAAAGCCGGTGATTCCGGTTTGGTCCAGGGCCTCCTCCCACCTTCGGAGTTGGGGAGGAGGGGCTCCAGCGACCTTCGGATGGCATTGGCAATGAGCCTCAGTGGGGACTTGGGGGGAGCCACGCTTCGCTCCCCTGGAGTCCTTTCAGCTGGGGTCCCCTCCTTCTCCTGAGCCTCCGCCGGGGCTGGAGGGGTCTCTCTCCCCGCCCTGGGGAGCACCAAGGGGCGGACTGGTTTCAGCACTCGGCCTCCTCTACCGTTCTCAGCACTCTTCTGGGAGAGTTGCGGCCCACCTTCCATGTGCAGGCTCTGGGGTTTGAAGTCACTCCAATCCAGCAGCCTGGTCTTCTGCTCCTGAGTGAGCGCCAACTTCTTCAAGCCCAACTTCTTGCCCTCTGCCAGCTCTGACCCACCCTCCTCTCCCTTCTGGGCATCAGCATTGCCTTCCCCTGAGTTCTCTCCAGCCCTGGGAGGCAGCTCTGGGTCTGGCAAGCACCCATCCTTCCTTGCAAGGACGTGTGGGCCTCTGTGGATGCTCCTGGGGTCCTGACAGCCATCGGAGGCCATCTCTGCAGGGCTGGGTGGCCTGGGGCCTGCAAGGCCCTCTGCACCAGGCCTCACGGGGCAATATTCTGCCCGCTCCAGCACCCGACCGTGAGGCAGATATAGAGGGATTTTCGTGGGTGCTTCTTGGGCTCCGGCTCGCCTCAGAAAGGTTGGGGTAGGACTGAAATGACCTCTTGAGACCTGCTGCGGGGAAAATTGCAGGGATTTAGAAATTTCTACCATTTATTTTTATGAGGAAGGTACAGCTCAGTCTATAGCCCCCACACTCCCTCTTTCCAGGTCTCAGATATACAAAGTAAAAAAGAATTCTGCCTAGGATGATTTCAGAGGGCAGCTCTTCATTCACATGGCTACCTTGGGACTTGCTGGGATCTGCCTGGAGCCCCGTAGCAGCACTGATCAGAGGCTTTCCTAGGTCTTGGATCAGGTGGTTAGGAAGCCAGAAGGTAAGACAGAGAGATGGACAAGCTCCCGGGCCAGTGATGGTGGGGCCGGCCTGGCCCCTTTGGGTGGTCAGGCACACAGGCTTGGCTTGCCCAGCCAGGGTCCCTACCAGCAGGCACGCTCCATGCACAGGTAGGTTCCTCCAGCTACCAAGAAACAAAGACTTCCTCCTTGAAGCCCCCCTGGGCTGCAGCTACAGAAGCAGGATGGCCGTTACAACCTTCCCGTGACTTTTTACCCCAATGCATGTTCCTGCCACTGAGAAAGTAGTCATTTCTAGCTTGCAGAAACTTGGCCCTTGGCAAAGGCAGACCACAGGTGGACAGTAGAAGGCGTGGCTGTGCCCTGCCCAGAGCCGTGGCTGAGGGGTGGGGCAGGGGGCAGGGGCTTCGCAGGAGCATGCGCTCTTCTGCCTCATGCACTCTCCTTCCAGAGCCCAGAGCAGGGGCCAGCGGGTCCAGAGGCCTGATAAACTCACGTTAAAGGAGAGTCCAACTTTGCATTTCTCACAGATGCCATTATCTATACAAGGGAAATGCTGCTTCCAAGATCCTCAGCTCCTCCCAAAGGTACCCTGAGGTCTGCGCCTGCCCTCAGCACCCTCGGGGAAGGAGCAGGGTGAGCTTCTGGGAAAGGGACTTGGAAGGAGGCCCTGGCTTTGCACGTGTGGTGAGAAACCTAACAGCACTGACAAGCGGGAGTTAGGTGTCGAAGTGGAGGTGCAGAGGCAGCTCACTTTCCTAACAGGGCCCTGCGGGGCGCCTACCTGGGGCAGGGAGGAACCGTCCGAAGCACTGCCTGTGACGCTGCCCAAGGAGGACGCTGGGGACGTCGTGGCAGAAGAGGACGAGGAAGGAGAAGCAGAAGGGGAAGCTTCCCGTGGAGGTGACGCAGTTCTTGTGTGGTTCACTGGCGTCAAACCTACCAAGGAAAGAACACACGCTCGGTTAGAGTGGTTATTACCTTATCTCATGGTGAAAAGAGGAGGCTGGGAGCACCAACTCTGCAGGTGCAGAGGGAGGAGGAATCAGAGATGGGTTCGAGGCCCCGAGGCCCACGGCCTGAGACCTGCAGGGACTCGAGCAGGACTGGCAGCGCCTGCGGGCGAAAGGGGTCTCAGGAAGAAAAGCCTGGGAGCCTCAGTGCTTTGTTCTCCTGTGAGAACAATCCCGAGAAGTGAAACAGGAAGTCCCGCCCCTGGTGTTCCTTAGAAATGCGCGGGCCACTGTGGCTGGAGACTGGAGCCGAGGGAAACCACTTGCTCAGTAAACCACCCGCGGCCTCTTCCTACAGGAGGCTGAGGCTGAGGCTGAGGCTGAGGCCGCACCGCTAGCGGTGGGCACAGACAGGATAGGCAGTCGCCGCTTGTGAAACAGCTCTTATTTCTCACAGGGGTGCCAAGGGGCTCAAGATGAGAGGGCCACTGTGGGATTTTCAGAGAACACATGGGAGGGAGGTTATGATGAGTATCAGATCATTTGAAGCTTATGGAGTGAGGCTCGTGCTAGGCCTCTGTTGGTCCGGGAACAGATGAGGTGCAGTGGATGAGCTCAGAGCAACGTGAGAAAGGAGTGTGGACAAGGCCAAGAGGATGAGCCTGGTTCTGCGGGGGATGGAGGTGGGGGGTGTGTGAAATTGACTCCTTTAGCACCAGCAGAATTCGGACAATGGTAGCCTAGAAGGTCAATCTTGTTCTCCCGCTCTCACCTTCCCTTCTCTCCTGAGGGCACACACCCGCGCACAGACACCCCCTAGAATCCCCACACCTAAAGCTGCAAGCATCTCGTTTCCATACTGAGCCATCTCAGGAACATGCCCTCAGAGAAATTCAGAAGGCACCATGCCTCGTTCGGATTCGCCCGTCACTGTGTGACCCTGCAGCCGAGCCAGCTCTCCCACAAGCCCTCCCAGCATGCAGGGCTGCCCGGGGTCACGGTCTCTCACTATCCACTCCTGCCTGGCTCCCTGCTGACCCATTCCCACATTCCTCCAAGGTGCCGGCCTTCCTATTTTAGCTCGCTTGCTAACTCAACACAATCCCCTGGCTTCAGTGTCCCCAACGCTGTGGGTAAGAACGGGGTTCCTCCTCCGGGAATCGCCCAGGCCAGGCCAAAGCCACGGCCTGACCCAAGAAGCATTCCTTTCGGGCCCAGCTTCACAGGGCACCAGGCGGGGGGATTTTGGCATTCTGTCCTGCTTTGCTCACACACATGTGCAAGCCTGTTGGAGCAGGTTCCCCAGTCCTGGGCTCTGGAAAGACGGCCACTGGGCACATGCAGTCAGGAAGTCCCCAAAGGGAAGCCCTCCGGAATGCTTCAGTGGGGAAAGGCAACTCAGGGGAACAGATCTGGGGTGGCAGGAAGGAGCTGCTGGGGAGAAAGACTGCTGGCTGCCCAGAGCTGACGCAGGGGAGGCAGCTGGCCAGTTACCCAAACCCCCGTCTCAGCCCACGGTGAGATGGTTCGAACCTAAAAAGGCAAGAGTTGTGAGCTGTTGCCCAGCTCCCTGTGCTCGGCTTGCCAAATTCCTTCTCCTCCTCTTCCTTGCCCCTCCGTCTCCTCTCTCTGCCACCTTCTGACTCAAACCCTGAACTTGTCTCAAAGTCCCCTCAGCTCAACACATGGCCTTTTTATTCCACCAAGGAGCCTTCTGGGAACCTTCTGACACAGCGCCAGGGCCACCGCGGCAGCCGAGCCCAACAGGCAGGCCTCGGGGTGCACGAGGTCCCGACCCGGCAGCCGCTGCCTCTCTCTGCCTTTCTCTAGTCCCCACCCTTGCCCAGCTAGTGGGGTCCCTTGCCACGCACATTCCTCACACAGTCTCCAGGAGAACGTGGGGCAGGGGGAAGAATTTGAGGAGATGGGCTAACAAAACACCTGCCGTTCTGGCCTCTGCTTGGGAGGTGGGTGCCACCTGGGAGAGGAAGGTGAGGCCAGAGCAGAGCTGAGCGGTGAGAGGGAATCTCACCTGCCCGAGGTGGCTGATGTCTTTGGGTTCCCTCAGAAAGTGGTAGGGGGGAGCCCGGAACCTCACCTCCTTTACATCCACACCAGCTTCCTGACACTGAGCAAGTTTCTTAACCCCCCACCCCTGTTTCCCCCACCGGTAGAAAACAAGAAGTCTACTGCTGCTTCAGGAGAGACTGAAGGGATAAAATGAGATAGAGATGCCCAGTGCAGGATGCAGAAATGCTACATGCTGGCTAACCAGTAATTCCATCTGCCCTCCCTTTCCCACGTACACATGTGGTGTCTAACAAATACACCACTGAACACTGAATGGCCGACCGGTTCCAGAGGGCGCTGCTCACCCACCACCGCCGGGATTTCTCTAACCTGTGCACCCACTAAGTCCCCATTCATCATCTCAGATCCTTCTCTGCCAGCCCTATCTTTTCGTTAAACCCTGGCATGGGCCAGCCAGGGTGTCCTGCCCTGAGCAGGGGCCTTAGTCCTGGGTGCTGCTGGTCCTTCCAGTCCCTTTGTGCAAACAGGGCTGATGAGCCTGGGTCGCAGTCCCACAGCCCATCTGGATCAAGTGCCTGTCCTCTGGGCCCTCTGAGTCCTTGAGGTCATTCAGATGAACATGGTCACCTAGAGGAGGGTGCCAAGGGCAACCACACAAGGGCAACCAGCCTTATGAGGGCAGTAAATGAACAGAGAGGCTAGTTCCCCATGTTTGCCTCCCTTTATGACAGGACTAGACTTGCCCATTGAGGTTTCCTCTTGGGGAATATGAAAATGACAACAACAACAAAAAGATAGCTCTAGCAGCTTTCAGCTCTGAGGATTTTAAGAGACTGGGGCTGCAGGGCGTACCTTCCCAGAATTTGGAGCTCAGGTAATGGTCCAAACGCTCCCAAAGTCTTGGAGCGCCCTCTAGGGGCAGCAGCCTGCACAGGCCTCAATGCCTGTGCTTCGTTTCTGCACTCAGTCCAGCCTGCTTGTTCCCTGGTTTGTTCATTCATCTTCACTCCTAAACTCATTCATTCATTCATTTATTCATTCAGCAAGGAAGTACTTGGCGCCTCCTTTGGGCCAGGCTCATGCTAGGCATTAGGCCCATAGAAATGGTTCAAACTCAAGGCCTGCCCTCAAACCTCCTTCTACCAATACCTGATACTCCTGAGATAACTAAAGACAGGCTGAGGTCTCCAGGCCCATCCCAGCAACCGTGCTGCTGGCTCCCAGTCCCCTCTGCTGGTACTCAATACAGATGACTGGAAGCACTGGGTTGGAATCTGCACCCAAACGGACCCACCCATAGAAGCAGAAGTCCCGTGACTGGGGGAGGGTTTGTGGTGGGGGTAGACGAGATGGTTTGTGGAAAAGGCTGGGCCCAGGTCCTCAGGAAACAGTCCTTGGCTCCTTCCCCTCACTCTTACTGCCTGGGGCTGTAAGCTGATCAAGTTATTTTAGGTTGTCTCAGGTGAGGGGTCCTACCCAGGTGTGCAGCCCTGATCCAGCCCCAGAGGCACCCACGTCCCCACCTGACCCCAGTGGAAGAGGCAGCAGGTCTGGGGGTTGCAGGGAGAATGACTCACTGGCGCTGACTCAGAAGGAAGGAGTCAGCTAAATTAGCACTCTGTTCCAACTTCAATAATGTTTCATTTTTAGAAAACTCTGTCTGACCCAAGGCTTTCCTGGGACCATCTCTCCCAGAGCAAGGTCCGGAGAGGGGTATAAGGGCAGGAAGAGGTGGGAGGCAGCTATGGACTTGGAATTGGAAGAATCCCTGGCCCTTTCTTGGGCTCAGCGAGGAAATCCCTGCTCTGTAGTTGCTGCCCAGGGAATAGGGGCAGCCCTGGGATGCTAGGCTGTGGTCGCTGCGCCCCCTAGTGGGAGCCTGCTGCTTTGGCAACCACCGCAGGCCCTGGTCCTCATCCACTCTGCTCTTCTAAGCGATTTGCAAGACCAACTCTCTGAAAAACGGAGCAGGGCAGTGTGTATTTGCGCATGTGCGCACACTTGCTTGCAAGCACCTATGAGTACGCCTGTGTGTGTGTGGCTTCCTTCATTGCTTTGCCTATAACCGAATGAAGTTAAGCTCCAGCTCAACTCCAAAGTACTGAATCAAAACATACAGTGACCCAGGGCCTCAGAATCCTCATCGGTGCTTCAAAAAGCCTGGAGCTGATGCAATAAGGTCTCTTCCAAGTGGAACTGAGTTCTAAGGCTCTATGACTCTGGAGTGGAGACCTGAGGGGGAAGGGAAGGTCCCAGATCCCTTGGGAAGTGCTTCCTCTAGTCAGCAGCGGAAATAGGGTCAACCTTGTATTCCTGTCCTTGCCCCTCACATCCAGAAGGCCAGGTCAGAGAGGCCATGTAAGGGATGAGAACAGCTGTCCCTGAGAATGAATCAGAGAACTCTCCCCCCCCCCCCCACACCTCCACCCCCAGAGAGCTCATTACTCACTCGACTGGAATTTTCTTCTCCAGTTCTGGTATCTGCTGGGAGAGGGAGACTGGAAGCTGCTGGCCCGCTGCAGAGCTGTAGTGGAAAAAAGAACGGGGCAGGGAAGATGGGGAGGGAGGAAGAATGTTAAACATGTAGGAAAAAGTAGAAAGTTTTCTCCTCCGGTTCATTTGCCAAAAGTTAATCGGTTAATGATCGTGATTGACTTGTTGTAGACTGCTCTGCCTGGTTTTAGGAATTGTATCTCGACCCCTTGTGGCTAAGGGCAAAGGATGACCTTTGGAATTCTAACCACAGGAGACAAAGCTTGTCTCTGGTGGCAAATGCTGCCTCAGTTTCCTCTCCCTGCCCCCAGTGCTTGGTCGGAAGTCAATGACGGGTAAGACCCCTCACAGCGGGGGGCAACCTAAGCCAGATTTGATCACTTGGGAGGCCTTCATGGAAGGACTTGGGGGGCTGCAACAAAGAGCAATGGACTCTCACCCCCAGCTTTGTCAAAGCCCGAGTCCCCATGTTCTCTGGGAGAAGCGCTTCCTGGTTCTAATCCCCTTCAGCCTGAATACCTGATGGGGAGGGATGCAGCTCCTTGCCTGGCCAGAGTGTGCCCTGGGGAAAAATCTGGCATCACAAAGACTTGCTGATAAACCTGTGAAATCTGCTCTGCCAAGAGTGCTTTCATTCACATGTTAAGGGTTCGAGCAGGAAACCCTAAAACTCTGTTCCTAACAGACTCGGACTCACAGTAAGCACTCAGATCTCTTTGAAATGTTATCTACTGTTTGATCCTTGTTGCCCTGTATTCCTGTGTATTACAACCCAATAAAAGGCTATGGAGCAGGGGCTCCTCGGAGATACTGGCTGCAGCTGGCCTTTTTCCCTGAGAAACTGGCCACTGCTCACTTCTCCTCCCCAAGCAGATCACATCATGTCTTGGTCGTATTCACTCATGACTTGGCACTTGGGGGTACTTGCGAGAAAGTCGCTCCTGCACTGACTGAACCCCTTCCTTCCTTCACACTGCACCTTCCTGTCCCCACAACACGCACCTCCAATTTCTCACTCACTCATGCATTCATCAAATATTCATTGAGACCCTGCTATGGGGCCTCAATAAATACCAGAGGTCCTGCTTGAAGTGCTGCCACCTTGCAGAAAAGGGCTCATATTATGAGCCATCATTAATAAGCATACATATGTATACATGTTTATTTGCCTACATGTATGAGCCTACACATGCATGCCCACCTACATGCACTTACTTGTTTATAGCAGAGCTGAAGTCTCACATCAATGCCCCGTATTTGCAATAGATAAAAACAGGGCTGCTCTCACTGAAACCTGGAAGCTGCAGAAAGCTCTAACCTCTTTCCCCCTTCTCAGAGCCCTGGATATCCTCTGGGGACCAGTTTTAACTGCATCTCTGCATCATCCATTGTCTTGAACATCCCCTTGGCCTTGGTTCCAATAGGAACATGCACAGGAGGCTGTGGGTTATGCACTGGAGACCCCCCTGCCATCTGGGCCTTGAGAATTAGCCGAACAGAGCGAATACCACATGGGGAAGAAAATGTCCACACTGGGCCCTCAAATTTGGCCTCAGGCCCCAGGTCCCTGTGGTGGTTCCTTCACAGCCTGGAGAGAAAGAATGGGGGTGGCGAGCTGCAACGCTCACACGGGCGCGGCCGGGAGGCATGGGAGGAAGCGAGGCCCAGGGAGTGCTGTGGGTGTGGGAGAATGAGCGTAGGGAAGCCCGAGTGCGGGATGCTCTGAATCCGAGGCCCAGCTGGCACAACCCTGTCTCTCTCGGTACAAAGTCCCAATGCGACTCCCCAGCTGGTGCTCAGAGCTGGTGTCAGCTCTTCCCAGACGGGCTGTGCAGCACGGGTGCCAACCACTATCCGGGGCTGCCTTTCCTTGGGACAAGACCCTTCGGCTCCTGACACCCCTCCCCCCCTTACTCTACTCAGAGAGGCCTGGAGTCTGCTCTGACTGGCGGGTCCCCACCCCACAGGCCTGCTTCCATAATCACACCCACGGGTCGAGGGCAGCCTGTGGGGACAGGCACAGGGTGCAGGCTCCCCATCTCCCCATCACAGGGTGAATGGTCCGCCTAGAATTTTGGTCCACTCCCTCCCACCAGTGCAGGTTGGGGTTTCCCAGGCTGGGTGTTTGGCACAGCTCTGTCCTGCTAAGTGAAGTTGACCTGTTCGTCAGCTAATGGAGGAGCTACTCCAGGAACACAGAAGGATGCTTTAAGCTCTTACTGCTTCTCCCTGGCTTCTAACTCTGTAGACAGGAGCTTATGAGAAACGGCTAAAGTTCATGAGAAGGTTTCCTTCTCTGGTGCACACAGGGCAGCGCACACACATTTTGCCACAACAGGAGCAGCAGGGTGGACAATGGTCTGACCTGGTAGCTCTGAGCGGAGTAAAGCAGGACTGTTCCCCCACCCCTGCCTTTTTAATTTTTTTTTACTATTCATTTATCCATTCACTCATTTATTTATTTAATTTCTTCATACCTATTTTAAGGGAGTGCTTTTGGAGATCTTAAAGGGTATTGTGCCATATGGCGCTGATGTCATTTTATTGTTACAAACCAGGAGTGCCCTCCATAGATGGAATTATTGTCAGAAAGATACCAAATTCTCTAAATCAGAGTAATTAGGGGGCTGATGTCCTCCTAACTCTAATTGGTTTATGTCCAAAAGCCCAGGGGGGCTACACCAACCCATGTAGTTGCTCAGGCGTGCATTTTTACCACGAGCTCACCCAGCCAGGCCTCTGGGAAGTTTCTCTTCTGAGACTCCCATAGCGGGGGACACAGCCCGCCTGCTGGGAAGCCTCGGCCGGTCGACAGAAAGTGCAGGTACTTGGCCCTACTCTAGACCCACTGAGTCTCAATTTCTCAAGGCGGGAGGATAGACACATGCCTTTTAAACAAGATTCATTCTTAAGAATGAATAAGTTAGGTGTTATAGGAGAGCATGGCTGAGAGTTTCCTCTGGCCTCCATAACTCGGGGCTGAGGTTCTGTTTCAACTGTCACCCTGGGTGTGCTCTGTGCTGAAGAGCTTTGAGGAGGTGCTAGGTTCCTTGGTGAGCTGAGGTAGTCCCAAATTGTGGTAAATACATGTAACACAAAAACGACCATTTTAGTCATTTTGAAGTGCGGAGTTCGGTGGCGTTGAGGACCTCCATGTCGTGGTGCCGCCACCCTACCCTCGGTCTCCAGGAGTCTCCCCTCATCCCGGGCTGAACCTCTGTGTCCATTAAACAGCTCCCTGCTGACCCTCTCCCCCGGCCCTGGTAGCTCCGTTCCACTTTCTGCCTCCACGAATCTGACTATTCTTGCCACCTTGGGGACGTGGAGGTCACACCACATGTGTCCTTTTGTGTCTGGCTTATTTCACTTAGAATGATGACTTCAAGACTCATTCACGTGGCAGCGTGCGACAGAATTTCCTTCCGTTTGAAGGCTGAATAACATTTCCTTGTGTGGATGTAACACAATTTGTTTATGCATTCATTCACCTGCTGACGGACAGGTGGTCATTTCCCCTTTTGGCGGCTGTGAAGGATGCTGCCGGGAGCACGGTGCACCGACAGGATTCTTTGTGAAGCAGTTTATCTCGCTCTGGTCCAGCATTTCCCTGGCTGTCCTCAGAACCATGGATCCGATGAACACTGTGATCCATCCAGCTCCCTGACACCCACAACCTGATGCTAACTCTACATTATCTGGCAAAAGGATGCACTCACCACAACCAGCAGCACACAGCACAGCACTTACACCACACTGGAGGCTTGGCCCTTACAACACGGATGGCTTTGAGGTGATCAAAGCCCTTACAGGTGAAGACAAAATTGATGGAAGATGGTCTGAAAGTCACGTGGCCTATCCCCTTCTCTTTCTGCTCTACGTTTCTTTCCGGATTAAACTGGACTGTCAGAAACACAATGCTTTGGCTGCACGGCCCCGTTCTCTCTGCCAGCCCCCGTTCCCCTGGGAGAACTGCTCCCGTTGAGCCCTGCTCTGTGGCCAGGCCCTCAAGTCCCAGTGAAAGTGTGAACGGAATGGCTGGGGCAAGGACTCTGGCTGCGCGGTTTGCAAAACCACTGTTGGGGACGTATCCAGTGCATCTCTCAACATCCTCTGTTGATGTGAGCTGGAAAATTTCTCCTGGGCAGAGCGTTAGTGGCGCTTGCTCTGAGACCTGCCGCTGCAAACCAACATGCTTTTCCCTCCTGAACAATGAGAATAAAATCGTCTATTTCCTTGTTAACGCTGGCCACCAGGGAATCTGGAATCAAATGTATGATCCCACTATACCAACTGTTTAGGATTGTGATACTCTCTCTGAGGGCTGTACCTTCTCAATTGATTTACCAACCCTGATCTCGAGGCTTCGTCTTTCATGTATACAATACATACATACAATTTTGCTTTATGTCTATCTTATACGTTGCCTGAAATCCCCTGGCAACTGAAGGGAGAGGAGAAATAGGGGGAAAGAATAAAAGGCAGGTAGGCTTTATATTTATGAGTGAGGAGGCTGGAGCCCCAGGAGGCATAGGGGCCAACCGAGGCCAGCAGTGCCCAGACAGAGGCAGGCTGCACCCAGCTGGGCACAGCTCAGCACTTGCTCCACTGCAGGTGCTAAGCCTTTTTTGAACAGCTCCACAAATGATACTTAGCAAATGGGTCCTTTAAAAAACAGAGGCTCACGGAGGGTGGTAAATTCAGAGTTTGCAGGATTCAGGGCCTCAGCCTTGGTCTTCCTGGTGCACCACTTTCAGGGTTTCGGTAAAACTAGCCCCCACCCCCATGAGAACATTTCTAGGATCAGGTGGAGAGTCTGCTCTCCGCCACCAGAGGGCAGTGCAGGACAAGTTGAGCTCCCACTCTCCCAGGCCAGCCTACAAGTCCTGCTCCTGGCAAGTTTCCTCTATTAGCCGGTTCTTCCCACCCAGAGGATGCATGTTGAAATCCAAAATACCCATTGAAGCCACCTTTCTGAAAACAAGTTGGGTTTCTAAGGACAACTACTTCTTAGGGTGCGGAAGCACCCAGCATTGGACCACACTGCTTACTTGCAAGGAGCCCCCAGGAAAGCAGTCGGTCCATTTGCTCACCTGTGCCCAGGGCGTCACGACACTTACCTCACAGGGTCGTCCGAAGATGGCCCATGCATGGGGCAAACCCCTGCCTGTCCCAGGTACTCAGTGAAAGTGTGTTTATTGTTCTGTAGGTCATTCTCCTGCATCCCACAAGCCCCAAGCACTGGTACTGGCCCTGTGCTGCCCCCAGGTCTCCCTGGGGAAGCTGCCCTACCTGGGGTGGCATGTGCTCCCACAGCAGCTGAGCCCACCCCCCTTCCCTTGTGGAATGACGGAAGGGCCCCTCCGGAGATACGGAGGAGGCAGGAAGGAGACTGCTCCAGGCAAGAGGGTCCTGGGGCCTCCTGGGTCAACCGAGGGCAGCCAGGCCCCTCGGCCATTTTCCTAGTTGAGATTCCAAAGCTTCCCATGAAGAAGGAGGTGGGCCTGGGTTAGCCCGACTTGCACCCCAGCCCCTGAAGTCCCAGCCTCACTGCCTCTGAGCCTGGGGGTCACATCGCCTATCACTGGGGCCGCCCGTGCAGGAGGGCTCACTGCTCACCATGCAGAGCTCTGGGCTCCTCGGGGCTCTGGGCCGAGAATGTCCTGGTCTGGGCCTCCCTCAGGGAGCTGTGGCGAGTGAGGGGATGCGTCAGGGGGGCGGGTTCTGGCCGAGGGGGTCTTTCCTCACAGGGCTGTGCGGTGGAGGCCTCGCTGCTGCTGCCGCCACCAGGGTCCGACTCTTCGTCCGAGCTGGAAGGAGAGGAGAGAGGGGGTGACGGAAGAGCCCTGCCGTTCACCCCCCCAAGGCCACAGTGTGCCCTGCCCACCACCACCTCCAGCAGGCCGTGGGGTTCAAGGGCAAGAGTGGGGTGGTTAGTTAGCCCTGCACCCAGCACCTGCCTCAGGCTTTGTTGTGGGCTGAACTGTGTCCCCTCCCCAGATTCATATTAAGTCCTAGCCCCTAGTACCTCAGAAAGTGGCTGCATTTAGAGATAAAATCTTGTAAAATGTACTTAAGTTAAAATGAGGTCATTAGGGTGGGCCTTAATTAGTCTGACTGGTGTCCTTACAAGGAGAGGAGATTAGGACTCAGCTGGGCAGAGCAGGAAAGACATGTGAAGACAGCCGTGTACACACAGAGGAAGGAGAGGAGCCTGGAGCGGGCCCTTCCCTCCCTGGGAAGGAGCCGACCCTGCCCACACCGTGACCTCACACTTGCAGCCTCAGAACCGAGAGGAGAAATCTCTGTGGTGTAAGCGGCCCGGCCTGTGGTTCTCTGTGGCAGCCCGAGCAACAAGTACAGGTGCGGGTCAGGGCAGGGGAAAACGGCCCGCAAATGTGCGGCGAACTGTTGGTCCTAACCCTTCCGACCTTTAAGTACTGCTTCGGAGTGGAAGGGGGAATGGAAAAGACTGTCTGGGGGTGGGGGAGTGGGAGTGTTTAACCTGGGCTTTAAACGACTGATGACCAGCCCAAGCACGGCCCCAGGGTGAGAAAGTGACATGGTAGTAAATACATATCTCACATACTTCCTCTCTCTCTCCATATATATATACATATACACACACAAATATATGTATACACATATATATGTGTGTGTCTATATGTATACTTGGTCTGTGTTTATGCATATGAGGCCTATCCTTGTATATTTGTTCTCTCTCTCCATATATATGCACACACATGTGTGTGTGTATATGCGCGTATACATCAATATGCTTCTTTTTACTAGGTCGCTGCCCCTCATCCATCTGTGGGCTTTGGTCGGCTGCCCATCCATCAGGCTGCCCGAGCCTGCCCGTTAACCCTCGGGAAGCCTGCCTTGAAATCCCGGTATGTGGACACGAATTGCCGGGTGTGGGCTGAGGGAGGCCCGCACAAAGAGACGGCCTCTCTGTGGGCTGCTGTAACGCCCCGTGTGGAGAGGCTACAAGGGACAGCAGCTACCCGAGGCTCTGGCTCCATCCTGAAGTGGGTACCACCCTGCACCTCCCCATCAGATGGACCAATGTATTCGCCTTTGTTACTTAAGCTAGTTTGAGTCGATCTACACAGTCTGCATATTAATTCTTTGATCTTATGCACTCTGTAAAACAGGTGCTGCGATTGTCCCCATTTTACAAACGAGAAAGTGGTGGAACAGAGAAGTTGTACTGTAAGTAAGCAGGGAGAAGACCAGCTTCTGTTAACACCCCCCGCCCTTCCCAGCCCATTCCGCCCCGCTCCCGCAGCGGCCCCAGCACACCTGCTGTCGTCACTGGTGACGAGGACACACACAGCCAGCACGTCCTGCCCGGCCACATCCTCCCCGGGGCTGATCCTCACGGAGGTCCACTCGGCAGGTGGGGGAGAGGTGGCTTTGCCTTCCCCATCACCAAGCTCCGGCTCCTGGACGCTCTTGGGCTTCTTGGGGGAGGTGGGCTCATCTGCTGAAAGGAGAAGAGGGTCTAGGGAGAGGCGGCATGAGCAGCCCCGCAGGCACCTGTTCCTCCGGCAGAAGTTTGGGTAGGCTCCCGGCCGGGGCTGGAATCTGCCCCTGGCTCCACACTCCCTCCCTGCAACAGAGCTGGGTTTTGCCCTGTGACCTTGTTGTTTGTCGCACCACAGAGCTGGGAGGCACCTGCCTGCACAATGGACTTGAGGCTTGACCGGGAAGCTTGTTTTGATCAGTGAAAATCAGTGGATGCAATGTGACTGGCGGCTTTCAGTGGCCTTGCTGTGTGGTGTGTCCACCCACACTCCTGTTACTTGGCCATAAGAAGAGCTTGTTCCAGATGGCCACTGCCCCTCACGCCTAGGTCCCTGACTGTGGGCACATGGAGCAGGTCTGGAGCCAACCTGTGGCCGGAAGCCTGGCCAAGTCCATGAGAGCCCAGGCCTCCCTTAGACCTGCAGCCTGAAGTGGAGCCACCCAGACAATCTGCAGACCAGTGGGCAAAATAAAAAAAAAAAAGATGCTACAAGCCACGGAGATGTTGGAGGCTTTTACACAGAATTACTAGAGCAGAGACCTGACTCCGTGCGTGGCTCATATCTGAGCTCACGTATGTGTGCTCGTGAGCTGCTTGTACAAATACTTATACATTCAACAGATGCTACTGCTCCAGGCCCGTGCTAGAGACTTGGAGATGAATCAGCCATTGTCTCATGTATGTGTGTATATGCGCGTATACATCAATATGCTTCTTTTTACTAGGTCGCTGCCCCTCATCCATCTGTGGGCTTTGGTCGGCTGCCCATCCATCAGGCTGCCCGAGCCTGCCCGTTAACCCTCGGGAAGCCTTCAAGGACCTTTCGGTTTCACAGGGGAGATGAGGCACATTCGCAAATGTCTACGTTAGAAGGTAGACCACCTAAGAGTGAAGCCGAGACAAGGTGGAAGGAGACAGATCTGACTTTCGTGCAGCAAGGCACCAGTTTAACTCGGTTTGAGGAGGAATAGGATTTGAACACACAGAGCAGAGAGAGGTGGTGCTCCAGGGGTGGTCTCCTGAGAGCAAAAGCAACGTGGGGAAGCCCTGCCATCTGCGTGGGAACAGAAAATAAGTCCTCGGAGCTGGAGGGCACGATATAAAAGGAACCAGATGGAAATGATGGCCTCCACGTCAACCCAGAAGGGCCTTGAGGGGCAGGGTGGAGGGTGCAGTGACTGCAGCAGCAGCAACCAGTGAGAAGTGGAAGGTGGGGGTGGACCGTGTCGGATTTGCATCCTAGAAAGACTGTTCTGGTTGCAGAGTGGAAGCTGGACTGCAGGACACGCGCGGAGCAGCGAGAGAGGCTGGTGGGGAGACTAGGGGCGAAGAACGTGCAGCTGGAGGAGGGGAGTGAGGGAGCCAAGAGGGGTGAGGCAGGATGGGGCCGCAGCAGGCAGAGGCCACCTGTGCCTGGCTGCAGTGGTCCCTGCCCCCCTAGGCCCCTGCAGCCTAGGGGGGCAGCCAAACCGGCACAGAACATTCCTGTCCAGTAGGGCTGAGAGGTGGAACAGGGTGGGGCCTCTGAGCAGCTTCCTGGGCTTCTGGAGGTCTGGGGACATGGCTGACTGATGACCCCCTGAGTACTGCATGGTCAGGGCCAGCATCTCTCACAGCAGAGCCCAGACATCAGTGGAGGGGCTGGGTGGGGGAGTGGCCACTGGGAGGCAGAGACTTTGTGGATAAGAAGCTGGTGCTTTCTCTGATCAACACCTCGCCCAGGCAAAGGGCCTCAAAGGAGGCCTTGCTCTGCCCTCCCTTCTGCCCCATGTTCTGGACCACAGCTGGGTTCTCTGGATTCAGTGCCGGCCCTCGAGCTTGGCCTTCTAGACACTTCCTTTTGTCCCCCAAGGCTCCTGCCCACATGCACACACCCCGAGGGCTAGCCCCAGTGGTACTGGTGGGGGTCCTCGCAGTGACCTACAGGCAATGCCAAAGCAACACCAACTCATCGCCCAGCGCCCACATGCTGGGTTAACACTTCGTGTCCATCACCTCCAGCATCCTGGCAACTGAAGGACGGGATTACCATCTTCGTCGCCTGGGTGGAAGAACACGGAGTCCAGAGAGCAACTCAGCCAGGTCCACCCAGTGAGTCAGCTGGATCGGCCACTGCTGGGACACGGAGCGGCCCGGGTGAGGGCCCAGAGTGTGCCCTGCCAGGCCACCTGCCCCAGGCCCGGCTGGACTTTGCCTTATCTGCAGGCATAGGGGCTGCCAGGGGAAGGAGGTCCCATCCCACGCCACCCTGGCCAGCTGCCCGGCCTCCGGGAGGGAAGCAGGCCCGGTCAGAGCTGAGCATCGCAGGCTCCTCCCAGTGCCCTGGCCGAGCACTTGCTCCCTGGTGAAAGATGAGGCCGCGGGGGCAGAGCCAGGCACTGCCCTAGGAGGTGTCTGTCCTCACACACCACGCCCGGCAGCCAGGCCCTTTCCGGACTAGGCCCCGCTGCAGAGTCCGGGTGGGGACCCTCGTCCCGGTGCCGCTGGTGGGATTGTTCTTGTTTCAACCCAACTCTGGAGACCCTTCCGCTCTCCCCCAGAGCCAAGGGGGACAACATGTTCTCCTGTGTCTTGCTATTAACCCCATGTTACAGGTTAGGAAACTGGAGATTGTAGCCCTGGGAAGGTGAAATAGAAGCAAAATCAAAATCCCCCTCTCCCAATTACTCAAAGGGCTCAGTGGAGGGGGCAGGACAGGCCATGTGAGGGTCCTGCCAGGCTCTTCCTCCCGAGCCATGAACTGACGTCAGCCAGCCCTTCCCTAGCCCAAGTCGGCCACAGGCACCCCAGTCTGAGGTCCAGGCCAGGAGGCAGGGCCTGCCCCTCCTTTATTAACTCTACAAATATTTATCGAAGGCCCCATATGTGCCAACCATGGTGCCATCTGTTGGGGTTATGAATGGTCAAAAGAAACAAAGATTTCTGGCCTTGAGGAGGTTGTGTTCTAGCAAGAGGAAGAATAAACAATGTACATAATCGCTAAGTGAATTACATAATAGGTCGGAGCTGATAAATGCCACGGAAAACTGTCTCCCCAGGAGAGCTGGGGGTGCAGGTTGCAGTGTTAAAGGTGGCTCTCACTGGGAGGGAGACACGGGAACAGGGACTTGAATAATGGGCAGGGTCAGCCACGTGGATGCTGGGGAGGGAAGGGCACTCCTGGCAGGGGGAACGGAGCACAAAGGCTTGAAGACAGAGAGGGGCCCAGCGCGGCTGGGACACAATGTGTGAGAGCAGGAGGACAGCAGGCCCCAGTTACAGGGGCCAGGCCACAGGGAGCTGAGTCCATTGCAAAACTAAAGCAGAACTGAAACACCCGCTGGCAGATGGCAGGAGGCAGGAAGCAGGAGGCAGGAGGCAGGAGGCAGGGAGGGTTAAATATTATCGGCAAACTGGAGACAAACAGATGGTGCCTCCCAGTGTGCACGGAGACCTCTGTTTAGTTCCCAGCCCAAGGTGTTGCGTCAGGTGCTCTGAAGCCCCGCCGATCTAGAATGCCCAAGGGAGTCTCCCTCAGGATATGCCCTGCTGTGAAGACCAGGAAAGTGCTAGCTAGAACTCAGCCCGAGAGCTCCTGCTGCCCTGTGAGTCTGGCAGGCGTGCTCACCAATTCGACCTCCACGGAACCCTGTACTGCTGAGTCGGCACAAAGGCTGAAGTCCAAGTCCAGCTCTTCCCACGTGCCAAGGCTGTTCTGAGAGCAGCACCTGACTCCTGGCCCAGGCCCCTGGGACTCTCTGTTCCCATACAGTTGAAGACACCACTCCAGATGACCTCGCTGGTATCGGTGAACTTCTCTAGTATCAGTACCGGCCTCCGGGGTGCCACAGGGAGGTGAAGAGTTTATGAGATGCCGCACATACAGCGCTTGGCCCCATGCCTGGTGCAGAGGAAATGCTCAGGCGGTAACAGCTGGCCTGGGGCTTCCTTTACTTGTTTAAGGAATTAGAGAAAAAGCTGTAAAAGTGAATGAGTTTGCAGAAATAAAGGAGAACAGCCCACCCACTCTGCTTGACCTGCTTCCTCTACTTAACATTCTGGTTGCATGGAGATCTGTTGCTTCGGCTGGGTTCTTTCTTTAGGACCAGTTCCCTGGGGCAGGATTACTGGGCCAGGAGGCCAGCGCCCTCTTACGGATCTCAGTGATCGTTGCCATATTGCTTTCCAGAAAAGATGGTCCTCATTTGCTTGTATTCGATTCCAGTTACTCAGTTCACATACATTTTTTTTACCATCTCTTTTACTTTTTTTCTTTATTAATTCAGTGGGTAGAGCATAGTGTTGACATTCCTCTTGTACATGCTTATTCTTTCTGTTCAGCGCTTACTTTTTAATTTGCTCAAGTGTGAGCTGCCCAGGCCTGGCCTCTGCCCACCTAGCATTGGGTTTTAAATCAATGAACATCAAACCGACCAGTGACAATGGTGCCAGGTGTCTGGAAACACCTGCTTTGCCTGAACATTTGAAATGTCACAGCGAGGTCCTTCTTTGTTATCACATCTAGTTCAGAATTTTTTCTCTTTCTGACTGCCTGTTAAATATTTTCATTTTTATTGTTCCATATTAAGTTTTAAAAATGGACATAGATTTGCGCCATGTTTTTCCTATGCAATTTTTTCTGGCAGGGGTTTTAAAGCTTGGCAAGTTAGCTCCCCAAGATATAATCAATGCTCGGTTCTACTGAATTCTGTTGTTTTACTTTTTCTTGATTTTAAGTCTTTAATCCAATGTTTCAGGAATGAAGAATACTCTAGTAAATGCTTATGTAAAGTATAATATGCAAAACAAAAACTCCCCCCAAACAAACACACCGATTCAGTGAGGTGTGGGGAAGCCCGCCTGACTGGAGCTCATTGAGCTCCTTTACTAGAGAACTCGTCAGGGACTTGGAGGTGCCGACAGATGGAAACTTTGGGAGGACTGGCAGGGGCGTTGTAAGACATTTCTCATACTGTGTG